TACTAGCCTGTATACATGCTTATTGTACAGCTAGCATTAGCTATATTTACCTTGTTTACACTTAGCGGTCCTATGTGTTAATCTGTGTGTGTTACACTTGCATGTATGAGACCATTAAGTGCCTTGCAACTTCGTTTTGTATAGTTTCACTCCGTTTGAATGTCAGTGGACTGCAAATAAGTCAATAAAGGAGCATGGCTGCTCATTCGCTGGCTCTCAAAAGAGTTTGGCTGGCTGTTTAATCTATGTTGTTCACACTGAGACAGTACAACACAGAGAGAGAACAGTACACCTATTGTGTAAGAACCAAGTGGCAAACTCTGGGGAACAGCCGGGATGCCAATACGGAAGTGCCACACACTGCAGTTCATACATGGTCCGCTAGGGACTGGCTGCAGAAAGGAGCAATTTCCATAGACCCCCATGTTAAAATGCCCAACTTTACAGCAGAAAAAAACATGTTTCTACCCATGGATGCAATAAATATTATTATCGATATAGTTGGATTCCACCTTCATGATTATGAATCTGTGAGTGAATTGTTTTCTAACACGACCCTTGTATTTATATTAGGTCTTGCTAACAGCAACTTGTCCACTCTGCTAGGCTACAACCATAGAGGCTACAACGTTAGTTAGTCATAGTACTGCACTTGACCCTTTAGCTTTAGCTGTGTTCGTGGTGATTGTGCCTTTTAGGGAATATTGTTACAAATACCAGACAATTAAAATGTCGTGCTGTGTGCTTGAATGTACTAACAGAACTTCCAAAAAGTCTAAAATGATAATATTATACATGTTAACCCGTTCGCAGGTGTTTGTGTGCTTGGTAGCTTAGCTTGTTACTTATTAGCCAGCTAAGGACGTAACCCTTTATGCATACATATTAGGGCTGTCAAGTTAACGCAAAAAATTATTAACGCCACTAATTATTTTAACGCGATTAACGCATGTATATTTTTTTTCCTCGGCCGCCCCGTAGTTTCAGAGCGCATCGAGTTTAAAATACCATCTACAAGCTGATGCTACAGCCCCGCTCCTGCTGCCCGCTTGTGGCAGACCACACTTCCACGCTCACCGGCAGGCACCGACTGGCTATTGGGAGGACCGGGAGGGTGTATGTATGTGTGGCCCGAGCGAGCGAGAGAGAGACCTTACGTGCATTGTTGTTGTTAGCATCTGGTGCTAGCTAGCTGCGCTAACGGATATAAGGAGCTGTTTAAATGAAAACAGAGGAGCGACATTTCGCCACAACTGCGCCGAGCACTTGACTTTATGCAGGAAGCCAGACAGTGGGACATTGTACGAAAAGTCAGCACACTCAGCACGGATAGTGCGCGCAACATGATCGCAGCGTCCAGGCAGCTCCTGTTCGAGCATATGCCTTGAGTTGCACATAGCTCCAACGATCCATCACACACACACGCACACACACACACACACACACACAACACACACACACACACACAACACCACACACACACACACACACACACACACACACACACACACACACACACACACACACACACACACACACACACACACACCATTTGTATTGTATTATTGTATGAGAGGTTCCAGGTTGAATTGAGGCGAATATTTGTAATGTTCAGAGGTTGTTATGTTTAATATTCATGAGAATATTGTCATTGTTCAAATGATAATAAACATTAGCATAAAGCATATTTGTCCACTCATATGTTGATAAGAGTATTAAAAACTTGAAAAATATTCCTCTAAGGTACATTTAGAACAGATCAAAAATGTGCGATTAATTTGCGATTAACTATGGACAATCATGCGATTAATCGCGATTAAATATTTTAATCGACTGACAGCCCTAATACATATACATTTTAGTTTATGATTCAGCCTTGGGTAAGACTTTTATAGTCTATGGCTATGACGCCCATAATGCTAAACGGGAGCAAATGTTAATAGGGGACCCAATTATCCCAGTGGTGGCCGCCGGAGCTAACGGAGCCGCAGGGGGCTAGCTCCAGCCGGCGTCCCGGAGCTAGCCCACTGCGGCTCCGTTAGGTCCGGGCGGTGGAGTCCGTCGTTATAACTGGAGATCAAGGAATGCAGCGAAACGCAGACTTGGTTCGCCTGCTGTAGTATTAGCTAAATCAATTATGTTGAACAAGGCTTATTAAGCTGAACATCGCCACAATTGTTCTGCTATGTATCGGTACTTATTTTCTTAACGTGTGAATGACAAGCATTAAGAATAACAAAATATAGCTAATTCTCTTGCAGATTGTCTCATTTGATTATGAATGTAACGTTTATATAGGGGAACTACACTGTTAGCAGTAACTTGGTATGCATGTATTTCATGTTCGCTTAGCTTCTTAGCCTGAGCTAGCTCTGTTTACTTCCAGTTCGGAGGCAACAGGTCCCGCCTCGGCTCCGCCTCTTTGCCCTTATTTGGAGCAGGCGGTATTAGACTCTGACGTTGCTGTCAAGCCGTTAGTGGCCGACTCCGCCTACTATGGGCTTCTCGGCAACTCGAATCCTATGGGTGACGTCACGGACACTACGTCCATTTATATATACAGTCTATGGTAAGAACATACAGGCAGGTCACACAGTATGATCACAAATACATAAACTCTGTTAAAAATCTGTTTTTATTCAAAAGTACAGGCTGCATATGTGTTCTCAGCCTTGGAGAAACTTGACATGTTTTGGAACCTCTCTTTAGTGGTTCATTAATAAAACAGATATTTCAACGTGTGCCTACTTTGTTCATGTGCTGTTGAGTTTAATTTCAGTAGTTGTGTGCTATAATGTATTTACTTAGTGTGAAGAGGAGGCAATTTTAGAATAGGGAACCTGTTCAGGTCAATTAGAGTCAAACTACTAGCTTATTGGTTATGAACAATACTTCACTTTAGAATAGGGAACACATTCTTAGATAAATACCTAATTAGAGTCAAACTAATAGCTTATTGGTTATGAACAAGACTTCACTTTAAAATAGGGAACATGTTCTTAGATATAAATAGCTAATTTTAAGTTGTTTAGACTTAATTAACACTTGTAGTTTCATGTCTTGTCCCATAAGAATAGATTATATTTGTTAAGTGTTATTATGGGAGAATTACTATTCTTGCCTTATTAGGCCCATATTGGGCAGCGCATATTAAGACCAAAACTCATGTACAATAAGTTCCTTACTTGCAACAAATAAGCACTAATTAGAGGGTTATTGAGGAAAAACTCTCAACTAATGGCTTATTACTTGTAGAATATGGTCATGTAGAATAAGGCATTAATAAGTGTTTTATAATGACTAATAAAGAGCCAATATACTGCTAATATGCATGTTAATTAACAACTAGTTGATGGTTAATGTGTGTACCTTAATATAAAGTGTTACCGAAAAAAAGATTTAAAAAATACAGATTTCAGTATTCTGAGGCTCTGAGACACATTTCTTTCCGTTGCGGACGGCAAAAAAAGTCCGACATTATACGAATTAAAATAAAAACAATAATCGTGGCTTGATATTGAGTAAGAACATGTTTTTATCAACCACACAGCTCTTCCAAGACCCGACCGGACAAAAAGACGTGTTGCAGGCACGAAACACTCTACCAATAGAAATACATTGCTTTTAAAATCGTTCTGTGTGACACAAAAAAAAGATTAAATGTTGTGACTATAACACGAAATGCCGTGAGACTGGGTTGGATAAAATACTTTAGTGTGATTACTTTGACCGAATGTTCGAGGATATATGAATTACTTTGATAAGTATTAAATCTTAAAAATGCATGTCACAAAGCATCTATTTGAGTAGATATTAGAGAAAAAAGTAAAGGTGTGGTTTTAGTAACATCTATGTGTTGGATCCAGGGTGGGAATTTCACGACGGCCACGACGGCCATGGCCGTCGTTGCCCCGCACTTTGGCCGTGATGCCCTGTGAAAAAAAATGCAATTCACGGCCAAAGTGGCCTTGGTGCCCCTGTCAAAAGTTCCAGTGTAAACAACGCTAGTAAAGTCATATTAGTGCGCGCAGTAGGATAGTCCCGTGCCTGTGGATCAGAGCGATTGCTCTGCTGTGATTGTTCAGTCAGAAATGCCTGTAGGGGCCCTGACAGCCTCCTCCTCAGCCGCGGGAGCAAGACAAGCACAGGTAAGCAAGCGGACCAAGCTGTTTTGATATGATTTAACTGAAGTATGTGGTAGTATTTGAAAGGACTTAACATTTACGTGTTTATAGAAAGTACTATTGATAGGTAATTACCATTGTATTAGCCTATTTAAAGTCGACTCGTTACATTTTGTCATGAAAACTAGCGATAGCTAGCTAGTTTGGATAGCGCTAACGTCTTCCCTTCAAGGGGTCTACATCTAGTGTTGCTTCTACAAGCTAGCAGATAGCTGTCACCTTTGAATCTAGTATTTTTCTTGCTAAGCGGTTTTGATATAATACATGACTGACTTATGTGGTTTATGGCTGAACTTAACGTATACGTTAAAGAAACACTATTGCTATTCAGCCATTTGTAAAACGACTGGTGTTGACGTTAGTGCTACACTTTTCAGTCATGTTGATTGACCAGCGTAATTTAACCAAACGGCCTTTGTGCCCTGTCATGTGGCCTTTGTGCCCTTGAAAAAAATGTGAACGGGAAGGCCAAATGGCCTTGCCCCTAAAATGACGAAATTCCAAGCCTGGTTGGATCTACAGTTTTTTTTATGTTCAACATTTCAAACAGCTGTAGCACCATCATAGCACGAGAGGCTAGATGTTTAATACAGTAATCTCTGGTCAAGTGCAGACACCGGCTGCAAAACTCATTTACCAGATATCAGCCACATTTGATCTGGCTGTGAAAGAGAACGTTATGTGTGGAATAGCATTAATAAGCAACAGATATGATCTGCTCGTGAAATTAGTCACTTTAAAGTTTCACATTTGAGTAAATGCAACTGAAAATGATAACGACCTGTAAAATAGCATGCAGCTGTCGTCCTGATATACCTGTTCAGCCAGCCAGCCGATGTGTTTGAGGTGGGGGTGTGTGGAGGCCGCAGACGTGGCCCCCAGGTAAGCGTTGATGTGAGCCAGGGTGTGAGGCAGCAGAGCGGCGATGTTGGTGTGGACGGCCGTAAACCAGGAGCTGGCCGAGGGTCCGTCCTTACAGCGCAGGACCACCGTGTGCTGCCCGTCTGGGGAGTGCAGCTCCAGCAGTCTGAGGGGACAACGTGTGATAATAATTAATTTTATCAGGCACTATTACAGGTGCTCAAAGACCCTTTACAGAGAAACAAAAATAAATACAAATTGAGCTAATAAAACAACATTTAACACAAGGACTCAACAACCGTATAAGCTATTTTCATGGACTGGACAAAATAAAGTCAACTTCAAACTAACTTTCATTGTCAATGTAAAACATCAAAGCAACTTTACAATTATATTTCTTACAGAATAGATTTTATTTGAAAAATAAAATTGTAATTCTAATAATTAAATTCAAACAATCTAAATGTTTTATTAATTCATTTATTAATTTGACATCTCAAAAAAGGATAGGGATAGCAGGTATTCTTTTATTAAGTTACTCAGAAATGTCATATATTTACATATTCTTTGATTTAAGAACATAAAGCAATAATATTGTAGGAAAAAGGTTAATTGTTTTAATTAATTTGTGTGAATGTTATCACTGCTTTAGAGTGGTGCAGGAATGAGCTAATGCATTTGACCAATTCCCTTCCCCTGGTCCAAGTCAACAGTTTATCGATCATGTTTTTGGTAAGAAGCCTGAAGGTCGTATGTTAACGCAAGCTGAAGAGATTATTAGGTTTTGTTGGACGTCAGTAAATACCCCACTCATGAATGTCCGAAGCTTCTTTGTGTCTTAACAGCGGTCGTAACAAGTGACTAAATGAGACTACAAAATGTCATAACGCCAAACATAGCCACAGCTAGCATTTGCGATGCTAACTTCAAGGTCAGCCTCCAAAAATACGTCATCACTGCACCACACTATTGTTTTTCTTAACATAACAACAAACATTTCGAAAATATTGACCGCAAAACAATATTATATCATTTAAAACTAACCAACAAGCATACGATGGACAAATGAACAATATGAATATTTTGGCATAATGCTGCTGGCCAATCAGTTTAATATCACTCACCTGTGATGGGCAGCGGCGTTTTTATATGTACAAAAGTGGTGGGGCACGAAAAACTTAGATGTTTATATTATTAGGGCCCGAGCACGGAGCGCTAGGACCCAACGGCGTCCTAGCACGAAGTGCGAGGAACCTATTGTTATTGGTGGTATTATTATTATTATTAATATTATAAGGAATCATATTTCCTGTTTTTGAGGCCTTTAGGACGCTTCAAAAGTTGTATAATTTTGCACGGATGCCAGGACCGGTAAAAATTGCAACATCCTGGAGTCAATGGGTTAAAATATTCCAACGTGTTCGCTAGCGCCACCTATCAAAATCCCATTTCGGAATACATTTACAAAGTCGCACCGTAACTCCAAATGACCTGACATTTTGCACACATATCCGGGTGGACCTGTTCTACAAATAATCCTCTTGGAACCCTAAACTCCGCCTACATTTTTATTAATTTAAGGCGAGACACCCCAGGTGAATAGGGTAATTTTTTTAACCTAAAGGTATCAGCTAGAAATTTCTCCAGTTAATTACTTACAATAAGGCAATTGTTTTTTGTATTACAAGTTTTCTGAAATAGCATGGTTAAATATGCAAATGATCCATTATCTCATTAAATATGCACATATTTCAACACATTTCAGGAATCGAAATCTGAACTTTGGATAAAGCCAGTTTCAAAATTCTTGTTTCATTTTGTAGTCATATTAGTATCTAAGGCTTTTACTGAAGGGATATTGGATATCTCTTTTTATCACTCCATAAATCAGAATATACTGTCAACAGCCCTAAAATATCAATTTTCGCCATGTTTTTAGGTATACAATGTTGTATAATTCAGGCTATGAATGATATATGAACAAACCCTTCTGTAAAAGCCTTCATAATATTGATAGGAATATAACTGGAAGGTTTGGTGTATGTACGTGCTACTGAAGTTGAAATTTCGAACTCAGAGTAGGAGAAAAAACTCATTTGGAGAAAACGACCTTTAAAGATTGCAGTGAGGCGCTAGCTCAGGGGTCGGCAACCCGCGGCCCACGGGCCTTTAAGCCCTCTGCTCTGGCTCCCTTGAGCTTAGACAAAAATAAGAAGGAAATAAAACAAAGGTATTTGTAGGACTATTTATATTTTGTTGCATGGTTGAAAATGTTTCGTATCTTGTATTTTGAGGTGATACTGTGACACATAAATAAAAAACAAAACGGTTTTAATTAGGTCAACTAAAATATGCGTCACATCCTGCTACGGTCCCGCGCGAGCGCCTTTTCTTGGAGGCGAATAACCTGACCCCCGGCTCGATGAGGGAACTATGGCTAAATCAAAGAAAAGTACCGGAGGAACACAGGATTTAATTCTGTGTGGACAGAGTTATATGCTTTCACAGCAAACGATGCTGGTTTACCGGTATGTTTGATATGTAGAGAGAAGTTGTCAACGGTGGTGCAGCCTTTACGTATCGAGGAACAACAAGGGAGAGGAAGACAGCTGACTATCTTCAGTCATCATTCAATGGGGTGTGTCATTTATTTCAGAAAACACTTTTTGTTATATTCCATGGAATGCTCTTAACGTCCCGATAGCAATGAATATATTAAATGCTTTGACAATAAATACATACAAAAATGTATCTCTGGAAGCCGTAGCGCTGTAAAAAGCACGACCAATTATCTGAGCCGGCCCGGCTAAAATAACTGGATGGCCTAACTGCCTATCAGCCTTCCATCTGTGCACAAATTTATCTCGTGCCCTCATTGGTCATGTGCGCGTTCGTGTGTGTTGGAGGAGGGACTCTGTAAGAAAGTCTGAAGGAAGAGGCATATTTTTTCCGGTTGTGTATTTTCAAATTCTCGCGCACTCGAGCTGGTTTCTCCATTCTTACCTACCCTACCTTTAACTCTTTTTAGGGTGCAGCTATATGTTTTATTTATTTCAAAGTGGGCCCATTTTAATAATATTTTTTTTTCCTTCAAATGTGCAGAGGACTCCCCAAGTGCTGTGTTTAATTTATTTTAAAGTAGGCCTGTGTATTATTTTTAATTCTCCTTATAAGAGTTCTTTGTTTCTTATTAGAGGTTAACAGTTTTATATCATGTAATAAATAGACTAATAAATGCAAAAAAACTGTAGTTTTTGTCTGATATAACAATAAAAAACTATGAAATATGTTTTGCGGCTCCAGACAAAAAAATGTTTTGGAAAAAGGAGCAAAATGGCTCTTTTGGTCAAAAAGGTTGCAGACCCCTGCGCTAGCTAAACCCTCCTGTTCTTTGGATGATAGCTTGCGCATCGACGCACTCCGTGAAGGTATTTCATGTTCGGGGTCATTTGTTTTTTGTATAATCTTGCTTCGTGCAAGTGACCATTGTTGTCGTCTTCTCTGTGAACGTTTTTTTCGCTGTTCTTTTGCCATTTTGAGATTTCAATTTCTAGCGGAAAGCTAACCAGGAAGTGTTTTAGCACACCACGTGACGCATCTGAACGAATCACGTTGTCAGAAATTGACACCAGCCAATGAGATTTCGTTTCTTGGTTTAAGACCCCTTTGTGCTTTCACGATTGGTTGCTGATACAAAGGAAATGACCATATTTGGATCTGATGAGATTGTGCAGGAGAGACACAGCTTTCCAACGATATCTCTGTTGACATGGTGCACACAGCGGTCGCGGTACTTTATGTTACGTTAGAATGCTAACTTTTGGTGAATTTAGGAGAAATCTACAGACGCAAATAGACAAACTATAGTAAAATAAACACAAATGTATATTTTGTACGTTTTCCTTCCAAAAGCCTGAAAGAAAACATGTTATGGAATCAAAATAGCACAAAATCTCAAAATTGACCAGTACTTGAAAAACGATGTTTTTGCCTGCCGTGTCTCGCCTTAAAGAAGAAAGAAATGCTCATAACTCATCAACAATGTATCCAAACATCACACATTTTGGTAGATAGGTTCAGACTGTCTTGGGGAATAGGCACACCAAAGCATTTTCATGTTAGACTATAGGGGGCGCCAAAAACACCACCAATTTTTGTACACATACTCTCGGGGTGACTACGAACTCAGATTTAAAGTGTCGCAACAAATTCAGAATGTGGGCGTGGCCTATACATTGTTTTAAAATTGCGATAGCATAAAATGAGCTTCGGACGCAAAACTTGGGACACACGTCAGAGCCCACGACTTTTTCGAGAATGTAAAAAAAAAACGTAATTTTTCAAAAAAACTGCTCACTAGCGCCCCCCTATTGTGTGGTAGTCACATATAGTTTCTCAGAACTTCACGAAGTTTGGCACAGACATTCCTCATGGAATTCTGGACATATTTGTTAATAGATTATATTAGCCCCGCCCCCCAGGAAGTCGGCCATTTTGAAAGATGTGCGTTTTTCATGCATTTTAAGCACATTCTTGCGAACTCCTCCTAGGGGAATGATCGGAAAAATTCCAATCCTGGACAAGTTCAGCCCCTATCCAATATGATGCTAAATTGAGAAGAACATTTTTGATAGCTCAATCGTGGAGGTCGTAAGCTAACAGCGAATACACCATTTTTGACGATTTACATGTCGCAAATTACTCCAAAGTACTCGGATATAGTTATTCCGATATTCACGAAACGCTGTATACATATTGCTCTTATGATTGCGGACATATTTCAATTTGGCTTTTATTAGCCCCGCCCCCGACAAAGTCGGCCATTTTCCAAAAATTTCGTTTTTCATGCATTTTAAGCACATTCTTGCCAACTCCTCCTAGGGCAGGCATCCTCAAACTACGGACTCCGGTCCGGATCCGGACCGAACCACCACTGTCTCCGGACTCTGAGCAAATTATACTTTTCATATGTATTATCTCTCTGTATTATATGTGAGACATCGCCACAACGCATTCGCAACGAGTCAAAATTCTCCGCTATGTCCACTGCAAACAGCGCTCTGCATGTCTGACTGTTCCACTGTGTTCCACCTGTGTGTGTCAACGCTTTGGTCCAATCACATTCAGCATCCAGTCAGCGTTTTTTCCCCCCAAACAATCTGCGAA